GAAGTGGGGTAACCTGTTTTCAGAGATAAAATTAGTGAGAAAATGGCCGCCAAAGATAAGTTATTTCCTTAGCTTAAGAGTCGGTGGTAACAGAAAATTTTAATTTTTTTGTGCTTTAATCAACGTTTTTCAGAAAAATCCTCACAGAAATTAGTTCTTTAATGGGCATGAAAGATGTTGAGCCAAAAAACAAAAATTTGATCAAAATTCACAAACCTGTGGAAAAATGCAAGTTTCTTCACTTTGATCATTTTGACGAGAGCCTGATTCCACCACGCTGCCTCACATATTTGCAGCATTCAACAGCTCTTCCGCAAGACTTCAGTTGTTGGCTTCGTTTTGTTACAGTTTTTAGTGAGAGTATTACGGCACTTATGACACAAGTAGGTCATATATAAGTGCTGAAAACCAGAGGTGTTACTAGAGAGTGATCTACAAAGAAAAGAAGGATGGAAAATGAGGACGATAGATGTTTGCTCGGAAAGAAGGAGCAAACCACAGCAGGGCAAAGCAGAGCACTCGCCAACCACCCACTGAAGTTATTTTATAACGCTTCGAGTTACCATGTTCAACAGAAACGTAAAACATGATGTAATAACGAATATAAGTATAGGTAAAGTATAGTTGCCCAGTTCGAGCTTTTGGACTTAGTGCGCAACACCCGCGATCACCGTATGGGTCATAATGGGGTTGTAGCTGTGTCTTACAGGAACAAAAAACAAAAACAAAAAACACCAAGAAATCCCGCAGAAAAACGGGCTGCTGTCTTTGAGAGGTCCGAAAACATGGGGGCGAACGGGGGCTATACTTTACCTTTACCAAAAATCATTAGTTGGGCGTAGCCAGTGGGCTAGGCATCACTACAGTACAAGAGTGTGAAGAGAGGGCAAAGCGAGGAAGTGATTTGCGGGTGTAACTTTGGCTACCACCATAGACTTGAATTATCATATCCTAGACCAGACATTGTAATAGCCGCCGCTCTTTGCTCTCTTTTTTATAAAACCCCAAAATAAACCTCAGCAACGCCGTTACGCTGGTGCACACCATGGGGGCGGGGTGGTGGTTGGG